GTCCAAATCCACCTGATCCGTTGCCTGACCACTAGTGTGTTTACTTTGCCCCATAATTTGGTGTCATCCATGAACTTGGACAGAGTGCTCTCCACGCCCTCATCCAGATCACTGATGAAGATATTGAACAGTACTGGTCGAAGGACTGAACCTTGGGGGACCCCACCACCCACATCCCACAAATATAATCCTTGATAATGTTTTTAAAAGGTTTTCCCAAGGATAGAGGTAAGACTAACTAGCCTATAGTTACCTAGATCCTCCTTCCTCCCTTTCTTGAAAATAGGGACTACATTAGCCTTTTTCCAGTCCTCTGGGACCTGACCTGAGTGCCATGAGTGCTCAAATAGTCATGCCAGTGGTTCTGCTACGACACTGGCCAATTCCTTCAGCATCCTTGGATGAAGATCATCTGGGCCTGCTGACTTAAACACATCCAACCCCTCCAAATGTCCCTTCACTAGGTCGGCACTAACTGTTGGTGGGTTCGTGTCCCTCCCCTGCCTGCCTATAGTTCAACTGGGAGATTTGTCTTGATTCATGTTCAGGAATACAGAAGCAAAAAACTCATTGAAGAGCTCAGCTTTGTCCCTCTTATCTGTCACCAATTGCCCTAGTCTGTCCTGTAGAAGTCCTGTGTTGCCATGTGCCTTCTTTTTTCTCCCTATGCTTGAAGGACTTTTTGTTGTCTTTAATTTTTGTTGCCAGCCTGAGTTCCATTGCTGCTTTGGCCTTTCTAACTGCCTCCCTGCAAGTACGAGCCAAGTAGGTATACTCCTCCTTGCTGGGTACCCTCTCCTTCCACAGTCTGTATGCCTCTTTTTTCACCCCTAGGCTTTCCTGGATTTCCCTGTTCAGCCAAAAGGGTTTCTTGGCCCTTTTGCCGCCTTTTATGTGTAATGGGATTGTCCTCTTCTGTGCCCGGATTGTTCCTTTGATGAATGAACACCTTTCCCAGACTCCCATCTCACCAACGCTCTTGTCCTTCAATGCCTCGTTTACTAATCTCCTGAGCTCATTAAAGTTAGCCTTTCTGAAATCTAGCACTTCCACCCTACTGGTTATCTTTCCCACCTTTTGCCGGATAGTGAATTCTGACAATTGGTGGTCACTGTCCCCTAGGTTACCCTGTACCTACAGATCTCCCACCAGGTCATCGCCTGTAGCAAACACCAAGCCCAGTAAGGCATTTTCCCTGATGGGACTGTATAACTCCTGCATTAGGTGAAGGTCCTGTATGCAGGTTAAGAACCTACATGAATGGTTAGATCTAGCTGACTGCTCCTCCCAGATGTTGGGGTAGTTTAGGTCACCCATGACAGCCATGTCCCTTCAGTGCACTGCCTCGAGAATTCCAGTCTAGCTCATCCTTCTGGTGTGGTGGTCTGTAATAGACCCCCACTACCAAGTCCCTTCCCACCCCCACCCCCCCGACCTTCTTGTATTCTGACCCACAGTACCTCAATTTGCCCCTCTTCTATTTCCATCCTGATTATAGAGGACATGTATTGTTCCTTAACATACAAAGCAACACTTTCCACCCCTTTATCCCCATTCTGTCAGATCTGTACAGCCTATAGCCCTCAATGCCTACTGCCCAATCGCGGGTAGGGTCCCACCAGGTTTCAGTTAATTCAACCAGGTCAAAGTCTTTGTTTGCAAGCAGGAGTGTGAGTTCCTCCTGCTTGTTCCCCATGCTCCTAGCATTGATATAGAGGCACTTTAGCCCCCACAATAGGTGCCCTTGGTACCCCCCTGTCCTGATGCCTATTGGACCCCATAGTAGTTATGTGGACTGTTCCATCACATGGTTTGTGGTTCTTTGATCCTAGGTTCTGTTTGTCTTCTGCATCCCTAATTATCTAACCTGAAATTATTGTAAATGGACTCAGTGAAGAATATGTGCTGTTTAATACATATGTTTAAACTAGAAAAGTCATCTGCTCTGTGGCTTAGAGATAGTATTGATGATGCAACATATGGCAAACTCCCTTCTGCAGCCCTATTGAAACAATTCTCCATAATGATGCAGGAAGGCACTCTGCTGTTAGAAATGTCACCTGGTAGATCAGATGCAAACCACAGTTTTGTACAAGGTTTGAGCTAAGAAAACACTTTTTGGTGACAGTCCATTTGTAAAGCAATATGCCATGATATTTCTTCATCCCTTTTTCAAAAATATATTATAGGATTGCTGTGTGCTGTAAAAAAAAAAAGCTGTTGTGTTTCACACCAGAGGTGGATGCACTTTAATTGTGAGTGAGTGGTTCCTACAAATGCACATTGTATATCAATGTATGAGATGCTGTGCTTCATGTCCAGAGGAGTTTTACATCACTCCTGGAAGTATTGCTTTGTACCATTCTACTGGAAATGAGCTTGATGTGTTCACTGAGGAAAAGGGAAAGCCATGGGAGCAAGAGCTTATGCAGCTGTGCAGAGGCACAGCGATTACCTGACCCCAGCCAAGGGGGTCAACAGAGTCAGTGACAAAAACTTACTTGAGTGAGAGCCGGCATAAGGACATCACATTGCAGGTTTTATAAACGGTTCCTCTGGTGAGTGAGGCACATTGGGTTCATAACCTCAAGGGAGAAAGAAAGGGCCACCTAGAGAGAGCTGCCCTGTGAAGAGCAGGAGCTTGCCCCTGCAACAGGGACAGAACATGGAGCCAGCTAGAGGACTGAGTAAGCAGGCTATGGTGCCCAATTGGGACCTCTGAATTAGGACAGAGCTGGCTGAATTCAAACTCCATTTTGGACACTAACCAAAGAGGGAGGGGATTTAATCATGAGAGGGGGTGAAGAAACATTTTGTTCAGATTTCAAAGACAAAATTAAGCTCAAGTACAGACTTAGAAAGAGACTATGAGAGGTTAATCCCCAGTGGCAGGGAGGGAATGGTTCTTAACCCAGGCAAGGTATGATTTGGAGGCATCCAAGGATTGCGTGGGTGCATTAAGCACGGACTGCAATCCAGAAATTGCACTCCTAAACATCTGGTATGATAAAGGCAGGGTATGGGGATGAAGGAACACTACCAAAACGCCAGGTAGCCATAGGAATTGCATTAAGAAATGGCAGTTTGCCTCCCAATATTTTCTTTTCCCTTTGGATTTTCTTTAACATCAAAGGTATGTCAGGCAAGAACCAAAGAGGATAAGCAGGTCCTGAGTGGGAGAACTATGCAAATACCTATGTAAGCCTCAGACTTTTTGTGGAGAGCCTCAGATTTCCACGCTGTGCTATAGCATATAGCACTTATTGGAATGTTAGATCAAAAGAAATATCCTCCAAAAGAATTGGAGGATTGGACCAAAATAAATGCAATATGAGCCTCCATAAGGACACATGCAAAGTCCTGCACTTAGAGTGGAATAGTCCCACATACCGGTACAGGCTGGGGACTGACTGGCTAAGCAGCAGCTCTGCAGAAAAGGACCTGGGGGTTACAGTGGACAATAAGCTGAATATGAAACAAGTGTGCCCTTGTTGCAAGGAAGGTAACAGCATATTGGGCTGAATTAGTAAGAGCATTGCCATAAGATTGAAAGAAATGATTCTTCCCCTCTATTCAGCACTAGTGAGGCCACGTCTGGTGTACTGTGTACAGTTTTGGGCCCCCCCACTACAGAGAGGATGTGGACAAATTGGAGTGGAGGGTAATGAAAATAATCCTGTCTGATTAATTTCAATTGGATTTCCATGTTGCTGAACCAGCCCCCAGTCTGCTTGTCCTGCATTGGCAACACATACGGGGTGCATGCAAGTGCATGTGCACCCCCTGAGATTGGCTGTGCACCCCCTGGAAGTGCCAGCCACAAAACCGGAAGCGCTGGCAGAAGTGCACTTCCAGTTTTGCTGCTGGCAGATTTGGGCTTGGCAATCAGCCGCTGGTGGTCCCAGAGGTGATCTGGTGCCCCCCCAGACCCAGGAGGCACCACTTGCCCAAGCTGCCTATGACAGAATATAGGAATTGCATTAGCAGATTAGCCCAAAAGTCTAATCCAGTTTTCTGCCTCTGACAGTGACCATAACCAGATGCTTCACAGGAAGGAGCCAGAAGCCCATAGTAAACAGAAGTGAAACAATCTGTCTCCATACTGGTTTCAACCTGGTCTTGGTTTAACCCTGAGGTACAGGGTTCAGATCATTTCTCTATCTTCCTATCCTCTGCTCTGTGCCCTGAAAACACCATCACCCCTGGTTTGGTGTCTATATTGAGTTCTAATTCAGTTTTGATTTGGTTTAATGATTTCTAAATTTGGAGATTAATTGTTTTTGTTTCCTTGATGCTCCTAAATTCTTTTCCAGTTGGGGGAAAGGGACAAGGGGATAGGAGGAAAAGCCTTTTAATTTCCTTTTTTTTTTCATCTTGTGTGTTCATTGAAGAGTGCTGTGTTTGAGATTGTATCACACTGAATGAGTGGTTCACAAGAAGCTTTTGCTCCCAGGATCAAAGATGCATTATTGGTTATGCTTTTGAAAGCATGACTTGTGTAACCATGAGACTTCCTAAAGAATGGTAGTCTGAGCACCCTTTCTTAGGAGAGAGGAATCTGTGACATCACTTCATGGTAATAAGAGCAATCACAACAGTTCTATATATCATGTTGAATCTACCAAATATTTTCCTGAAATTCTAGAAAGGGTTTAACAGTTAATCAGTGTGAGGGAAGGAATTAATCACCTGCTGCCCAGTACTACTTAAGTTAATCAGGAAGTGGATCCATTATCCAAATAATTAACTGAATTCCATATTTCTGCTTTCCTAAATACAGTTTGGCTTGGTGAAGGAGTTTAAAAAAATGCCCACTCTGAATGCCCATGTTTATTAAACATTCAGAAAATCATAGGACATTTATGATCATAGTTCCATCAACTGTTATGTTGTGAAGCAGCACATTGATGATATGTTTTTTTTCTGTGTAATGCAAACAAAAAGTAGGTTAGGCAATCATCTTAATTTATTTTTGAATGTTAGAAAGATGCTAAGGCCTCATAAGTACAATAGTAATTTGAACAGATATATTATATCAACATTGTTCAATCAGTGTAAAAGCCTATGTCAAACATTTATTTCATGCATTACCAGGTAGAAAGTACTACATAAGTCTGGTTTGGTGAGCAAACATTTTTAAATCTATTAATATGATTTGGAGAAACCTGCTACTTGCAATTGTATCTGATTAATCTTTATGAGTCAAACGCTACAATCCTTATCTAAAACCCCAAAATTCAATATCTTCAATGGTGACTCCCACACAAGTTTTGACTGTGTAAGGACTGCAACATTTGGCTTGATCTGAATAAACTAACACCATGAATTTCAATGTGTAATTTTAATAAGTCAGTTCTCTAGCAGGACTGTGAAGACCCCTGCCTGTATGCACTAGAGTAATATTTCTATGCATGATCATAGCTATTAAGCACATGCAGAGAAGCAGGCTCCACCTCTTGGGTCTGTTTAGTTAAAATTAATCAGTTTATTACAAATAAATTATTTTTATAAAAAGATTATGAAATCTAATTTACTAAAGTGACACTTCCTCTCTCTTTTTTTGACAGTCAGAGTTAAAGAAATGTCTCTTGAAAATGTGTTCAACACCATAGGTTTATACTAGAGTCTCAAAAACATCATCTGGGTACAAAAGAAAGCCTGTAAATATGCTGTCATCCTCAGCGCTGACATAAACCCCATTCCAATCCCGTGCTACTTCCAACCAAACCTGATCCCCTGCATTTAATTTCAAAATAATCAAGAAAGATGCCTGATCTATTTCTTGACCATACAAGGTTTCCCGAGTTTTGACCATCTTCTTATTTTGTGCCACAAGGCTTATTCGAGCGGGCCGACCTCTGACTGTCAGGTGGTAAGTGAAGACATATGCTCCAGGAATGCTGCAGTTGAACTTCCCTGTGGAAGAATTATAATCTTCCTGGTCATTGTACAAAATCTTGTCAAATTTAATGGGTGTGTTTGGGGGTGGGAAAGGCTTTGACAAGCTAGCACTGAAAGCTGATCTTGGGACTTTTGAATTGTCACCCTTGGAACCTTTGACACCTCTGGCACCTTTCTTTCCAAGAGCTCCCCGGGCTCCTTTGCTCCCAGGAATTCCTTTTGGCCCAAGAGGTCCCATCATACCAACTGGCCCCAAGTCCCCTTTTTCACCCTTACTGCCAGGTGCACCCTTTTCTCCTTGTTTCCCATCTGTACCATGAATACCCTCAACTCCAATATCTCCTTTGCTGCCCTTTTCACCTTTCATTCCAACTTCCCCCTTTTCCCCTCTCTCCCCTGGCTCTCCACAATGCCCCTTTTCACCCATATCTCCCTTTTCTCCTTTATCTCCATTTTCCCCATCTAACCCTGGTAACCCCAACTCTCCCTTATCTCCCTTCTCTCCTTTGGTCCCATTATCACAAGTGTCCCCTTTTACTCCTTTTTGTCCTTTAATGCCAGGAAGGCCATGGTTTCCTTTATCACCTTTAGCTCCAGTTTCACCTGGGAAAAAAAAGAAGCAAATAATAATAAAAAATAAACACTAGGCAAGTGGTACAACTAGCTTTGGACTCATCATTGACATGTCAGATTTTAGCAGGAGCAGATGTAAATGTTAGACACTCTGGATAAGAACATTAAAAAAAAGAAAGCCAGAAATAGTGGTCAGTTTTTTAAATGTAGCTGTCATGAAAATGAAGCTTGACATATAGCGGGGGGAAAAATTAACTAAATATGCAATACCTAGACGTGAGTCCATATTGATAGAGGGTGAGGTTCTCTAGCACTATGTGGCTCCTGGTGTGATTTGATCTTAAAGCCATTTTAACTAGGCATAATAAAATTGTCCCACATGATGGTAATCATCTACTGGTTTGAACCTAAACAGAACTTCTTACACTATATATTTACCAGCTATTAAGACAGCAAAGAGAAAAGGCTGTGGCTGTATGCAAGGGGATGTGGCAAGGACAACTTTGCATTATGCTGAACCTTTGGGCTTGGGACAGACATTCAAAAAGCCTAAGCTTGAATTGATTTAATCTTTGCAGGTTAGTCTAACCTGACTAGGCTTAACTGGTTTGTAACTACACAGACATTCCCTCTGGACTGAAGAAATGCAGGCTAGAAGTTGGGGGGGGGGGTTAGAGCAGCCCTCTCTTCCCTTCCATAGTGCTTAGCTGAGGGAGGGCATGGCCAGGCCCAGGCAAGATGCTCTGATTAAGGAAGGTTCTCCCCTACCCCCGCTCCTGACAAGCCCAGCAGGGAGTTGATAAACACAGTGTTTATCTTCCTGTACTTAGTGTTTATGAGCCCATCAAAAAAACAACAGCCTTCTCCATTAATTCAAACTCTTAAACAACTTTTTCCAAGGGAGGAAATGGGGGACATTACCAGCTACATGTTGATTAGCCCCAAAAAGCCCTAAGCCAACACTGTCCTGTCTGCCTTTCTCAGCTCTCGCAAAGCACAGACTGTAGCCAGCATGTGGTATGCTAGCTAATGCTGAGAGGTGTCTGTATAAGGCAGGGAAAGGGGGTGGGGAAGCAGGAGGAAGCCAGGCAGACTCCACTGTACCTGCAGTCTCTGCCAGAGCTGCAGCCAGGGAGCAGTGGGGTGGGGCCAGCTCTGCTGAGCTGGAGCAGAGAGCAGAGCCCCTCCCAGAGTTGCAAGGCATCTGGGATGCTGGAAGATTCTGATTTAATTTAAACCAGGAAGGGGTCTGGGACAGACACTGCATAAACCAGTTTGACCCAAATCAGTTAAGTCTGATACTACATTCAACCAGGTTTATCTCAAACCAGTTTCATCCATTCTCAAACTGGCTTATCTGCACTGAGCATCTGTTCTGTTACAGGTTTAGACCAGTTTCTAATCACTTAAACTGGTTTATGTGTAATGTCTGTCCCTAGCCTTGTTGTTTTTCCAGCACACTCCTCCCATTGCTTATGTTACAGCAACTCAAGTCTGCTCTATCACAGTACAAGGGAACTTGTCTTTACAGAGCAACAGCAGGAGCGATGGAATAGAAAGTAGTTTTTGCCTCTTTTTTACTTTCCTGTGTTTTTTATGTAATTTAACTGCCCCTTAGGATCCAATCTAATGGGGGGGAGGAGGCGGGGAGGGGTTCCCATCACTGTCTCAAAGTTTTATTCTGTCTCAAAGTTGCTTTTTGCTGAAAAATAATTTTCCTTTCTGCACAATGTGCCAAGTTTGTACAATTCCTATCTTCAATATATTTTCCTCTGGGAAACTGCTCCCCTATAAGAGCTTCTTCCTCTTTGTGTGCATATACACACCTATATACACACACATGCATATTCACTCACTCCTCTGAATATGACTTAATACTTTGGCTGAGTAATCAAAAGATATTGCCTGGATAGTTTGTACCAGCCAGTTGTATCCTCTTCCAATCATATGTTAGAAAAAACTACAGTTTATGCTGTACATATACTTGACAAAATAAAATGATCAAATGATCAAAACTGCACCATAGTTCAGTAGTTATATACCATAACCATAGGTCAGTAGATAATAAATATAAAAAATGTAACTTCAGTGAAGTTACATTTATAAGTTGTTTTCCTGTCCTAACTTATGCACAGTTCCTGCTGCCTATAGCGAGCATTTTTCCTGAATAAGAACTGAGTAAAAACTAAGAACAGATTTCCAGATATTTCCCAATAACAGAAAACCAAAATAAATATGGAAATAGAGCAGCATTCTTAAGTACTCAAGATATACCTGGTTACATACCTGGTTCTCCTGGTTTGCCTGGATACCCTGGAATTCCATTTGTTCCTTGGTCACCATGTTCTCCTTTATCTCCTAAAACATTATTGACATTAATATGCTGGTCGGGTTGTTATTTGTGACACAACCTCTATTACACAAAATGTGATTTATTCTATGCGTGTCTCTCTCTACTTTAATAAAAACAAACTTAGGGAACTACAGTCCCAAGGATTTCTTGAAAACCCTGAGCTGAAGATTCACTCAGGGTTTTCACAGCAATCAACATCACATTGTACATTCAGAATTGCCCAATTCATCCTAATGCTTAAGAAACAAATATACTGTACATTGTCAGTGATATCTGACAGTGATGGCAAATAATGATTTTCATGACCAGCTGGAGAAGCCATCGTATTAAGTAACATTAGTTTAGGCCTACAGCACTAGAAAGTCTTAATCCAGAGGTGATATCATAGAAAATAAATTGTATGATAGTCTTTTGTCATTCCTCCTCCCTTTCTGAAAAAGGTGTTCAAATACATTGAGATCTAAATCTTATTTCCTTGTATATGTAGCTTTTGGCACTTACAGTTTGTGATAAGCTCTGTGCATACAAGATTGCACACGTATTCATTAAGGTTGCACTCCAGCCAAGTAACTGCCTAGTTCATTTAGGTATGTGCAAAAGGATGGGAAAGTCCCAAAATGTTTGTCACAGAAAAGCCACAACCAGCACACGCTAGATGCCAGAAAGGTATGGTCCTTCCACCTTTTCCACAGCAGCCTAGTGGTTAGGTCACTTGCCCAAAGAACAGGAGACCCAGGATTTAGGCCTAGTCAGCCAGGGGGTGTTGAACCTATATCACTTACTCACTAGCAAAGTGCTCTAACCACCAAGCTGCAGGTTTGGCATTAGTCCTCCAACCTGCCGTTTGAAGCTAGCTCACTTCACTTTGCATTTACTGTTCTTCAACTAAAAAGGAAAAAGCGCTCTGAAGAAGTTTCTGCACCATTGGGTACAGGTAGAATAATTTGCTGGAAAGCCCAAGATGTAAATTCAATCTTTCTGCTTCTTGAGAATATAAAACCTATTCTCTGGGCCATTGTCTCCTGAGCTATTGAGCTAAAAGGTGGGAGCACCCTCCCCACTCTCACCAAACTGCAGTTATGGAGCTGCATACATATGCCAGTTACATAGATAAATGAAAGAGGGTTTAGCCTTCAGTGCTTATAGAAGACAGATTAACAGCACTGGCTTCAGCAAAACATAATGTATGCAAATGCCATGCAAGCAACTCTTCAGTTCTGCCAGTATAGCTCAGTTTTCCTCTGCTGTTCCAATACCCTGAATCTTTGGACAGAAGCAGACAATTGAGCTGAACTGTGCCCAGTGCATCAGAAATCTAATATGATGATCATACTCATTCTCTCATAAGATATAGATACAGATCTCCAAGGTAAATGATTAAAACAATCAATAACCACCCACACAAACCACACTGTAATCAGCATAGGCACTGAAGGGGGTACATAGCTTGATGGAGAACTTGTGCTTATTGCCAATATGGTATTATTAACCAGGGAATAAGTTTTTCTGCAGTATTTATAGGATGTCTGAGTGCTGTTACTCTGGAGGACTCATCCTTCACTTTGATATTGCACACAAGTCTCTGAGTCCGTTTTACCTACAGTAACCATGACTAAGAGAAGTGATCATTCCAGTGATAGTTTGACAGGCTAAGACATCACAGAACTGCAAACTAGACAGCATCTCTTTGAATAATAACTCTTTTCTGAATAAAGACATTTTTAAAGAAAGTTTTGGATGTATGTTTTCTCTGTGTACAAGACAAGAGCTAGAACACTGTGGGCACATGCAGTTGAGCGCAGCCATGCGGTATGTGGTGCCGCCAACATGTGTCGAGCACCACATACCAGACACTCAGGTGTTCTACGCACTGCAAGGGAGCACTGCTCATGTGTGCACTGCTCCACTTTTATTTCTGCAGGGTTTTTTGATCCCTGGATATCGAGGGGTCAAAAAGACCTGTGGGGGAGAAAAGACAGAGCAGCACACACACAAGAAGCATGCGCTGCTCAAAGAAGGAGCCAACCCCCCAGAGCTGTGCTCTAACTGCCAGCCAGGCTCCACCCAGCAGGATCACCACTGCTGCAGCCCCAACAGGCTCCCAGACCCCCAGGTAATGCTGCTGGGGCCATGCGTGGCAAGGCATTTCCGGGGGACAAGTAGCTGAAGCACAAGGTTCACCACTGCTACTTGTCCCTGGGGAACCAAACATCCACACTCGTCTGGACATGGCCAGTGGGTGCACCTACACAAGCAATGAATTTCATAGATTTCACAGACATTAGGGCTGGAAGGGACCTGTACGATAACTGGGTCCAGCCCCCTGCCCAAGGAGCTGGAAGTCAGCTAGGGACAAAAGATCCCAGCAAGATAAATGTCCAAATGTTTCTTGAAAGTGTCCAGAGTAGGTGCTTGCACCACTTCTGGGAGAGTCTGTTCCAGGCCTTGCGGGCTCAGACAGTAAAGAAGTTTTTCCTTATGTCCAGCCTAAAACGGCCTTGCAGGAGTTTGTGACGAGTGGACCTTGTCATCCCCTGGGGTGATCTGGTGAACAGGTGTTCCCCTGGATCCTGATGCATACCTCTTACGTACTTACACACTGCCACCAAGTCACCCCTAGCCTGTGCTGCTCCAGGCTGAAGAGTCCTATAGCGTGCAGCCTCTCTTCATAAGGCCTCTCTCTTGCCCTCTGATCATGTGCATGGCTCTCCTCTGGACTGTTTCAAGCTTCTCCATGTCCCTCCTACATTGTGGAGCCCAGACTTGGATGCAGTACTCCAGCTGTGGCCTTGCCAAGTACAGCGGGATGATGACATCCTGGGTCTTGCTCAAGATGCATTGGTAGATGCAAGCCAGTGTTTTGTTCACTTTGCCAGCTGCGGTATCGCATTGGTGGCTCATATTCATCTTGTGGTCAATCATGACCCCAAGGTCTCTTTCAGTTATTGTTCATAGATTCATAGGCTTGTAAAGCCAGAACAGACCTTGGAAGATCACTGGGTCCAGTCCCCTGCACGAAGCAGGAAAGTTAACTGGGGATCAGGTGACCCCAGCAAGGTGACTGTCTAGTCTCCTCTTGAAGATTTCCAGGGTAGGCGATTGTACCACCTCTAGAGGGAGCTTATTCCACAGTCTGGACACCCTGACTGTGAAGTTTTCCCTAATGTTGAGCCTGAATTGATCTTCCAGGAGTTTGTGTCCATTACTCCTGGTTTTCCCCTCAGGTGCTCTGGTGAACAGTTGCTCACCGAGCCCTTGATGTACTCCCCTAGTGTAGCAGTAGCTAGTGAGTGCTAGCAAGTGTAGCATTGGTGCTAGCGAGTATAGCATTGCTAAGCCTGTAAGTGTGATGTGGGTTTTTATTCCCAAGGTGGGGCACCTTGCATTTCTCCATATTGAATGCCATCAGGTTTTCATCTGCCCACCTTGCAAGCCTATCAAGGTCGGCCTGGATCACCAGCCTATCCTCAAGTGTGGACATTCTTCCCCAAAGTTTGGTGTCATCAGCAAACTTGGCAAGTCTGCTTTTGACACCAGTGTCCATATTGTTTATGAAGACATTAAAGCGTAAAGGTCTGAGAACAGAGCCTTGGAGAATGCCACTAGTCACTGAGTGCCAGGTTGATCTGTTTCTGTCAACTACCACTCTCTGGGTCCAACTTCAGAGCTAGTTCTCCAGCCACCAGACTGTGGAGTAGTCAAGGCCGCAGCTGCCCAATTTTTCCATGAGGACATCATGGGACACCAGGTCAAAGGCTTTTTTTTAAGTCTGAATATATGACATCAACCTCTTCTCTTTTGTCCAGGTGTCACCTGGTCATAGAACAAAATGAGATTGGTCAAGCAAAACTTATCCGCAACAAATCCATGCTGGCTATCCCTCAGAATGTTGCCTTCTGTTAGCCTGTCAAGAATGGTTTCTTTGACAATTTTTTCCAAAATCTTCCCAGGGATTGGGGTTAAATTGATTAGCCTGTAGTTTCCTGGGTCGTCTTTCCTCCCTTTCTTGAAGATGGGCACCACATTGGCCCTCTTCCAATCTTCAGGTACTTTGCCTGTGTGTCATGAGTTCTTGAATATCCTCACCAGTTGCTGTGCTAGAATGTCTGCCAGGTCCTTTAGCACTCTTGGGTGCAATTTATCCAAACCAGCTGATTTATGGGGGTCCAGCCTCTCAAGATGCTCCCTCACAAGATCCATGCCAATGGTGGGCATATATTCATCATCACCCTGGTCATCCCGCATCAT